CCAAATACTGCATGTTCTCACTCATAGGTGGGAATCAAACAATGAGATCACTTGGACACAGGAAGGGGATCATCACACACCGGGTCCTATTGTGGGGAGGGAGGTGGGGAGGGATAGCATTAGGAGATATACCTAATGTAAATGAGGAGTTAATGGGTGCAGCACACCAACATGGCACATGTATACATATGTAACAAACCTGCATGTTGTACACATGTATCCTAAAACTTAAGGTATAAAAAAAATTTGAAATGATACAAAAAAAAGTCTATTTCAACTATGGAGCATGTGAAGCACATGCTGTTAGACCCTCATTTTTTTTTTTTCAAAAAAAGGATATCAGTGTAAATAGCAATAATAAACAACATTTGGTGTAAACCACATATATAGTGAGTTGAGGGGTCAAGAAAAGAATAATGACAGGTTTAGCTCCCAGGAGAAATGAGAGGGTCAAAGGTAAGCAGCTCACATGACCTTGTGACTAAATGTTAATGGGTGGCATTTGGTGTCCACCCTGAACCCCAGCTTTTCCACATCAAGGCTGTGCCTTACTCTTGCCACCTTGAGCACCTAAGACCTATGGGTAGAGTCTTGCTTGTTGGTTGAACTCCCTTGACATGGTCCAGTAGCAACATCTTCTGTGAATTCTTGCTCTGCCTGTGTGACTGTATACCTGCCCTCTGCAGACAGGAGCACCCCTGTGCATTCTAGATCTGGATCATGACTGTCTGAACATCCTACTCTTTCCTAAGAACCAACCCTCAGATCCCACTGGAAATGAGAAGAAAGCTTCATAGACAAACTAACTGTAGCGAATGAACATGATGTGCTGTTTCCATTAGGAAAACTTCAGGACCTTACAACTGAGTACTTCTTCTTCTTTTTTAAATGTTTTATTATACTTTAAGTTCTGGGGTACTTGTGCAGAACATGCAGGTTTGTTACATAGGTATACACGTGCCATGGTGGTTTGCTGCACCCATCAACCCGTCACCTACATTAGGTATTTCTCTTAATGCTCTCCCTCCCCTAGCTCCCCACCCCACAACAGGTCCTGGTGTGTGATGCTCCCCTCCCTGTGTCCATGTGTTCTCATTATTCAACTCCCATTTATGAGTGAGAACATGTGGTGTTTGGTTTTCTGTTCCTGTGTTAGTTTGCTGAGAATGATGGTTTCCAGCTTCACCCATGTCCTACAGCTGGTTACTTCTTCTATACTAGCCAGAAAACGGAAGGCTTGTACATAAAGTCCAGTAACTTAATCATCGTTTAACCTCCCTTGAAACTAAAGAAAAGGTAATATAGCTTTTTTCTCTCCCTTCTAAATTTTGTGAGTCTTCAGAATTTTCAAATTATTTTTTAAGAAAAATCCAATAATTAAATTTAACAAAATTATTTAGTCCATAACATAAGCAGTTGATTCATCACCATGATGAATTCTTACCTGGCTTGTCTGAGAAATACGACGAGTCCGGTTGTAAAGGGCCATGCTGTCTCCCTCTCGAGTTCTTTCAATTCTCCAGCCCCAAGCCAGCATAGTTTTTAAAGATTCTTTGATTGGCCAGCGATAAATTTCTTTTTCCTAGAGAAGAAAAACCAAAAAACAACAGATATATTATGAATGTAAATAAAAACGTTAAGTAACGCTTTGCTCTTGAATAGACTGCCTTCACTTTTTAAAAATCTGATGCGCATAGCTTATTTAAAAATAAAAAAGGAAAGTAAAATTCTAAAAGCGGAGTGTGAGCAGAGATCTAGTTTTACTAATGTTACTAAGAGGGATCCTCACTTTGTTCATTATATAGCATCAAAGTCAATTTCCTTTAGCGGACCTGGTTCCTAGGACCTAACACAGAAACTACAAAGGAGAGACACAGAACAAAAGGACAGCTTATGTAATATACATGTGACTCACAGCTTATGTAATATACATGTGACTCACAGCTTATGTAATATACATGTGACTCACAGCTTATGTAATATACATGTGACTCACAATGAAGTGAAATCCTTTTCACTTCATTTGTCAAGATATTCATTTTTTTCCCCAAAGAAGTCAAATATATGAAAACCTATACATAATAAGCACATTATTACTTTGTCATTACTCATCAAGAAACTTTTAAACATGGTAAGAAGATTTTTTAAAGTACTTAAAAATATGGAAGAGGAATAAAAACCAAAAAGGAAAAGAAAAATGTTAAGGAGAGAAGAGAATAAACACAGAAATGCTGACAGAAAATAAGAATGGAGAAGAAAAGACAAAATATAAGAAGTTTTTTAAAAATGGGGCCTTTGGAATAAAAAATACCAACTTTAAAATAAAGAAGTCATTTTAATATAAAAATATGTAACAAAGAAAAATATTTTCCAAAAGAATAAAAACTTTACAAACTAAAACAAACAAAAAATCCTCACCTTTTCAGACAATAGCTTGTATGGCTTCATTAATGGTTGAACCTTAGAAGAGTCTGAATATATTTCTCCATAAATCCATCCATTTGCCAACTAAAAAAAAAGGCAAACATTAAAAATTGTTTTACATGTGTTAATTTTAGAGGGTGTACATATACAGGTGTTTAAGTGCATGTTTGATAAAATAAACCTAAAGTGAACTAAAGTAAGGGTTAAGATTGAAATTTTATCCAGCATAAGTCACTATAAAGATATCCATCCTAATCAATGTTATTTTCTTTTATTTTAAATTTCAGATTCAGGGAGTAAATGTATTTTGTTGCATGGATATATTGCATGATGTATTTTCAGTAATCATCTGGAACAAGTCTTTTTATCCAGAGACTAGAAGCACCCAATCTTCCTTAAACAGACCAAGGTCTTGTAATTGTGCCGATAAGCATTCCCACAGGAGGAGGCTACAGGGATGCATGGTCCCAAGGATATCTATTCTGACCCATCTTGGGACCCCACCTGTCAAGTGTAAATAAAAAACATGCATTTTAAATAGGAAAACTAGAGTATGCATCTCAGAGTCTTCTCTGAATAATGCCACCTGTTTTATCCATTCTTTCATCAAATTTTCTCTCAACACATTCATTCCATATTATTTTGCCCATTTGTACATATCACCATTTCCCTATATCATTTCTGGTCTGCCTACAGAGTCTGAGTAATTAGACTGGAATATCTTCCTATAATATTCCTCTCCATCACCAACTCCACCCACTCAGTACTTAGTGGAGTTTTAATGTAAGATAGATCCTTACTGACTTAAGTAGTAAATCGGTTACTGAATGAAGAACCAGATACTTATCAAAACCAGCAAAAAAAGGGTTTCTTAGAGGGACTGAAAGACTGACTGGCCAGGGCAATGTTTGAAACTCAATATGACATCTCTAGCATGATGATCTTGATTTGTTACGAAGCATACACATCCTCTGGAAGCAAACTTTGGTGTCTGATTTTCATTTTACCAAAACAGTATATGAGTATTTTAGGTTCTTGAACCATCTCAACTCAACTCCTCTGATGAACCTACTTTATCCTCTGTTAAGTTTAGACTGAGCTCAACTTAAATGTGAATATTCAGGCATAAGATTTCCTTTAGAAAATCTCATAATATGTAGAAATTATCTCATAGATGCAGCTACTTTAGTTTTCTCATTTGTGTTGTTTTTCTTGAAAACACACAAAAAAGTCACCCGGCCAATGTAATCTATTTTTAGTAAACTGCAGATCTAATTGGTAGTAAGAAATACAACAGAAGAATAGAAAAGGTAAATAATTGTTAAATCCTGATTAAGAATTTTCAAGATTTTATCTGATATAGAACTATACCTAAAACCTGGCCAAGCATGGTGGCTCATGCCTGTAATCTCAGCAGTTTGGAAGGCTGAGGCTGGCTGAACAACTGCTTGAGGCCAACAGTTGGAGGCCAGCCTGGGCAACATAGCAAGATCTCATCTCTATAAAAAATATTAACAATTAGCCAGGTATGGTGGTGTGCACCTGTAGTCCCAACTATTCAGGAGGTTGAGGCAGGAGGATCGCTTGACCCCAGTAGTTCCAGGATGCAGTGAAGTATGATCACACCACTGCACTCCAGCCTGGGCGGCAGAGCAGGACTCAAAAAATAAACCCAAAAAACCTACATATAAAACCAAAGTTTCCTTCAAAGGTGAATTCTGAACGGGGGTCACCATTTCCTCCTGAAGCCCTTGGTGATTATTGCTTTTTACTCCGATAAACAATATATGTTATAGCAACTATATTTATAATGTAATTAATAGATCTTTTGAAAGCTTAAAATAGTGCTTATTCATAAGTGTATTATATTTGTGTTAATGACAGAGCTAGCTAAATATTATATTATTATATAAGCTAATTGCAATTAAGTATTTTTTCCTAATTTAGATCAAGTTCTCATTTTAAAAGAGAACACTGTCATGGTCAGAAGTATTGAACAGTGATCAGTCATTAATAACGACTACTGAATAAGAATGTAATTCTCTTTTTACCTTGTCCATTGACCATTTGTCATGCGAGTGTTCTGCATATTTGTTAATGAAGTATTCCAACTTCTCAGGAATTGTAATACTATGAGAGAAGTAAAGACAAAAGAGCTTGATTTTCACAGAATTTACAAGAATCATATTAATAATTTACTCACAGCTAATGAATGCTTATATCTCATTCAATTTTAACGGTTAAACACTACTGTTAACAAAGAATTACATTTTTCTATTTTCAGAACAATATAAGAAAAGTCAAGCAGATAATGTTCTATCTGCTCATCTTATATTGATTCATAGTTTATGTGCTAACATAACAAATTAAATATCATAAAACTATAATAACAATTATTATTAAATACATAAATTGAAATAATTAAATACATTCAAAGATTAGGACAATATATTACACAACAAAGAAAAAACAAGCACTAAATTTAGTAGTGATGTGTTAAAATTTTTAAATATTCATGGTCCACAAATAACACTGTAAATGTTACTAGAATTAACTATAGGGAAAATAATTAACTTCTGCTTTTTGTTAATATTTACTCTTGACTCCTTTTGTGTTTAAATGAATATTTAGTTACTTGATGTTGAGGACATGCAAATGATGACCAAGTCTGATGGTAAATCTAAGGCTTAAAACGTATCTATGAATGGAAAATCAAATATATATATAAAATTCTATTCATTAATGAATATATCTTATTAAAGTACTAACTTTGAGAACACAATTCTACATAAAATCTAGTATAAGATGGTTTGTTGTTGTTTTCCAGCAGTTAACAGTAATTGAACTATAAGACATACACATACCTAAGAAGCAATATATAAAAAATTGTAATCATTTAGAAATCATTGATATCACCGCGTAAATCTGTATCTGTTAAGAAGTCCCCCAAGGGGCAAGCCTAGGTAAATTAATATCCATGCCCACACTTATTAATTAATTGGATTTAATGAACCAACACCAAAACCATGACATTGTTCTGATATTTAAAAATCTCAGGTTAGATCATATGTTAGCAAACCACAAACTTACCCATGTAGGAATGTGAACATGTGATATATTGGTTTACTTACTTTGGAGGAGATACAAAAGATCAATCACATAAGCCAAATACTGGGGGATGGGGGAAAGGGTCTTTTCTCACAGGACTGTCATCAAAGACCAAACATGCAAATTTAAGGCATTATCAAACTAATGGCATACCACTCAGGTTGAAATTCTGATCTGGTTATGGAAGCTAAATCAGCTGGGGGCCACTCAGAAGCCTCAAAGTTGAACTCCCAAGCAAATTCAGAAGCCGTGGATAAGAACTACCAAGTGTCTACCTTGCTAAAACTGATCTTGCTGAGCACCATGGAATCAGTAAGAGAATGTGGCATGAAGAGGCAGCTTTCCTTGCACATGGAGAACCATGATCCTACTTAAAAACAGTAACAACAACAACAAAATGCTCAGACTTCAAACACCTGAAGTTCCCAAACATCCTATCTGTAGAACAATTGTTGCAACTAAGTACATGTAACAAGTTTCATAATGTTAAAGAATGTTGTTTCATCTTTGGTTTTGGTTGTTAAACTGCATTCTAACTGCATGCTGAATTTTCCAGAAAAATTCTCATTCGATATTCCCTTCCATCTCGTGCTGTGTTTTATCAAGTTGAACATCAGCTGTGAACCCTGGACCTTGCTGAGATGTAGTGATGGGTGAAGGGATTCCCTTGCCACTCACAGAAACAGCTTTGCAGTGCATGCTGGGAATATCTTAAGTAAAAGATGTTATATAGAGGTTGATTCGTAGTTACTATTAAACATTTAGGGTAATTTTTCAACTAAAAATATAACTGACAGACTTTCTTAATTCTATTATAGATATTACATATACCGAGTCTTGATTGTGTTAAGAATATCCTCGAAGGTACATCTTATCTATTTCTGATATTAGTATAATCATTATTATTACTATCATTTTATAAATTAAAAGGACCCCTATTAAAAGGATACCAATTCAAAGGGGGCATGTATTAGAGAAAGTTCACTTTAGTACCTTATTCAATTTCAGACTTCACACATCATTTACAATAAAAATCTGCTGCAATAGAAAGAGTCCATACTTTGAGGTATCAACAGGTTGTGGGTTAAAGTTCCCTTCAGAATCCATTGATGACTGTTTTTCCATCATACTGACATAATTTGACTCCATGTAGTCTGGAGGCAAAGCTCCCGCAACTGCACTCAGGCAAGGCAGTGCCAGTTTGAAAAGCTCTTGTTCATATTTCTGGGAAAAATGGAGGACCAAAAAAGAAATTACTATATAGCAAAAGTTGTCAGTATGATCATCAGGGCTACAGAAGGTTGCAGAAGAAAATCTGAATTACCCTGGGCTAACTGAACTCTCTGATAATTCTTTTTCTAGAAAATGAAACACAGAGCCTAAAACCCCATCAAACATAAAAGAAGCTCCAGCTAGATTTACAAACATAAAAGAAGCTGCAGCAGTTTCAGTTTAAGGAGAATAAAATAATAATATATGAACAACAGTAATGACAGTTTAAGGAGAATAAAATCTTTGACTCTCCAACGCATTGGAAATGAAGTAAACTTTAATATCGTCAACGTGTAAAATATCGTTACAAGATAAACATAATTTCAGTCAATGGGGACTACATTACTTATAGTTAGTTATAGATAATTCCTGTACATTATAATGAGTATACATGAAAAATACAGAAAGCATAACATTCTAGACAGTGAGAAATTTTAACCGATCCATGTTGCATTATAAAGGTTTGAAAAATAAAATTCTGAGCTGGAAAAGAAATTCCATAGAAAGTATGCATGATAAAAATTTATAGGAAGAGGCATTTGAGTATTAAGTTAAATTTATATTTATAGATTTTCTAAAAAATAAAAAAGTAATAATTTAAATTATTTCACTTTAAATGTTCATTGTTAAATAAACATAAATGATTCTAAAAAATACTTACACATTATTTTAAAAGGACTCAGTTTACCAAAGGAAATTCAGTAAGAAAACGCATTAAAGTGTTGCTACCAAATGTAATTGCAGACAAATATTCCTCTACTATGTAGTAAATTTGTGGTAATACTACTCCAATCATCTAATAATGTCAATCTGGGAATTCAAACTAATTTTGATTAATTTAAGCATGAACATACAAGACTTGTTGTTCTGCCTTTTCTCTAAGATCAACACCTGCCAGCCATCTGAAAACATATGAACTATTCATTATAAATTTTGCAACTATAAGGGAATGCCATATATGCAATGCAACATTGAGTGAAGGTATCTAAAGCTCCATAGCAGCAAAGCTGGAGACTTTAGCAGGGGACTGGGATATTACAATTACATAAGATTTCATGTTTTATATTTTTGTATTAGATATAATTTCTTTGGCCTTTATAAGATTGGAGATGGGACTAGGGAGAGTCTGAGTCCAAATGCACCAGAAACTTATCAACCCTGTGCGTATATTTCCTGAACTGCTTAGCCATTTGACATTCAGAAACAGTGTTGTGATCACAAGGAAAATGCTACCATAATGATTAAGAAAAATAAATATAAATTGCATTTTCAACATTTATTATGAAGTTGAGAAAAGAGAAAAAATAAAGCCATATGTGTCTTGGTTAGCAAAGACAGTATTCAACTAGGAATACTATCTTACTAAGAATGTGTGGCTTTGTGCCATTGTACTGATACAAACAAACCCACAAAATCTTAAATTACCTTTTGAGACAGGGCATCAAAAATGCCCCAGAACAACTTTCTTGATAAATGAAGTTCTTCTTCTGAGGCAGCACCAAAGTTTCCCCACCCTCCAGGCAGGCAGTAATATTTCCAGCATCTTTCATAATGATTTGTCAGCAGCTATGTGGGAAAACAGTTATAAAAGCAATGAGCTATCAAAACCTTTTGGATTTTTTTTTCATTTCTCCTCATATGACACTGTAGTGCTACATTATAAGGTCAACTGAAGTGCAATTGCTCAATCCCATGTAAACTCTCTTGGAGAATACTATCACCGTGTATACTACGTGTGATAGTTAATATTGAGGGTCAACTTGACTGGATTGAAGGATGCAGAGTATTGATCCTGGGTGTGTCTGTGAGGGTGTTGACAAAGGAGTTAACATTTGAGTCAGTGGGTGGACAGGGAGAGACAGACCCACCCTCAATCTAGGTGGGCACCATCTAATCAGCTGCCAACAGGGCTAGGATAAAAGCAGGCAGAAGAATGTGGAAGGACTGGACTTGCCGAGTCTTCTGGCCTTCATCTTTCTCCTGTGCTGGGTGCTTCCTGCCCTGGAACATCAGACTCCAAGTTCTTCAGCTTTTAGACTTTTGGACCTATGCCAGTGATTTACCAGGGGCTCTTGGGTTCTTTGGCCACAGACTGAAGGCTGCACTGCTGGCTTCCCTACGTTTAAGGTTTTGGAACCTGGACTGGCTTCCCAGCCCCTCGACTTGCAGATGGTCTATTGTGGGACTTCACCTGGTGACTGTGTGAGCCAGCACTCCTTAATAAACTCCCCTTCATATATACATCTATTCCATTAGTTCTGCCCCTTTAGAGAACCCCGACTGATACACTATGTCTCTTTCAAATTTAACACTGATTGCAATATGAGGACCAAACGCCCAATTTTACAAACAACTATATCTTGTACAGCATTCTTTAAGAGGTTGTTTGGATTCTACGTATCCCTGAGTTCTACATTAATCATTTACTTATAATTTTATGTATTGTTATTAATATCTTGCAATCCACGTGTAAAACGAAGGGACTGATGTCAGGACGGCCCAGAAGCACAATAAACGAACTATACCTCTGTGATTCTTTTTGCTCCGTCTCTGCCTCCCTATGGCTTGCCTCAATACTTAATTCTCCAAGTAAATTTCCAAAACCGCTCTACTTGGATCACTTCTTTGTCTACATTTCTTTGGGGGTTACGGATGCAATTTATTACTTTACTGATTGTCTACACTGCTCCTTGCATTTTCACCTATGCATGTTGCTTGTTTAGAATTAAACTGGAATGTCAAGGACAAGCAGAGAATCTTTCAATTATTTGGTAGTTCTTTAGATAATTTATTTTTGATCTGGATTTCTCAAATTAATAAACTGATCTATATGACTATACATATTTGGACTCTTTCCTATATCTAAGGAAGAAAATAAATCGTAAGAATGACTGTTACTAATGTGGGCTGCATGTCTTATTGTTAAAATATTACAACTCATTTACTTGTCCTTGCAGTTACAAAAAAATGAACACATCCACACATCCACACAATTTAGGAGTCACAAATGATGAAATATTGAGATCTAATATGCTTGGCTTCACACTGACATATCTCTAATGTAAGAGAGTTTTATTGCATAAGGGTAACAGCATGAGACTGTATCTTTTTTCATGAATTTTCCAGCTCATTTGTATCAAAAAATTTTGCAAGACAAGGACCATTCTAGATGACAAAAAACATAAAAGCAGAATTTTTAGCAAGGATATAATTTATTTTACCTAATTCACTAATGTATCTAGATTGATTAAAACAAAGTCAGTTTTCACAGAGAAAGATTACTTTTGCTAAATATCCAGGATGCTTACTGTAACAGCTGCATATAGACTCTTCATATCTCATACTTCTTCAGCACTAGTACTGGGTAGCCATTGGGGGAAAAATAATGCTACTGGATGGCACTGCAGAGTGGCCATCTATTAAAAAATCCATCGCATTACTATATAACTTTGATGCAAACACTGTATTCTATATTCTGAGTCTAGATTATGATATTAAAGGACAAGAAAACATTCCCAACTCAGTAAGATAGAATGAGACTTGATCCTGAACAGAACAATAAATTTAGAGAAAATACCAGTGATTTTTCTATACTGTGTGACAAACTATAATTGCATATACAGAGAGGTTATCATTGAACCCTATGAAGTGACATTTGGAGCCTGTCATGTGATTATTAACTTAGAAAATGTTGTCTTTAAAGCCTGGTCTTTATCCCTCAAGGTTTCTAATAATATTTTAGGCCAGGCCTATTACCATGTTTTCCAACTTAAGAATATCTTGGCTTTTATTTTCCCTGTGGTCCTTTTTCTTTTTCCCGTTGATTTCTATTTCCATTGTTTATATTGAAATCATTGTTAAGATTTCTATAATCTTATAGAACTTATTTATTTAAAGTTGATGTATACATTCCTATAACTTCTAAATGCCCATTTCAATAATTGGGAGACATTTTCCAGCATCAAGCATGATGTATCTAAGAAATGTATATGTTGTCATAGAAAATAAAGTCAGAGAAACCAGTCATCAAATATCTACACACATTTCCTGTACTTACTTTAAGAGGCATCTTTGCATGTTCATTTAATAATGGAACATCAAATACTAATCTTCTGAGTAAGTGCTGCATCATAGAAGGTCTCAGTTGTCTGTTGGAACAAAGTTAATGTTAATAATGCTGAGAAATGTGTCTAAACTAAGTAGATCATTCATTAGAATAAATTATGTAAGCCAAGGACCTGAATCTATACTTCTCTTCAGATGGTATTCATTAGATGTTCTTTGTCCAAAGATCAGCTACTTAGTTAATTTTATATAAGGTTAGATTTCCCAACTCATCTCTATCCCCCAGATCTGAAGACCACCCCTTCTTTGCTATAGAAGATGTTTCTGTTCTGCTCCTTCCTTTCCAAACCACTCACAAATGCAGACCCCACTGTTTCCTAAGACTTTCCTCCATAAATTTTAGTAAATGTCCCTTCCCTCATTCCAATGGATGGGAAGAAGCAAAAAGAAGAGGGAATATTGGAACAGAAAGGAGGAAAAAATGGCTGAGACAGCAAATTTGCCAGAGAAGAAAGGGAGCAAAAATGAATACATAGTGAACATCTACTGCGTCAGGCAACAGCAAGTGTTTTACCTCGTTTAACACTTAGAAAATCTCTGTGAGGGAGGCATTTTGGTTCAATTTTACAGAATCTTAGATTAGGGAAGTTAAAGAACTACTCTTCTGATTTTCCACCCCCTTCAGTGCCATCTGGCTCTCAACCCAGACACTCTACCATGGGTGAAAACTTGCCCTTCCCCCAGGGACTGCCAGGCAAGAGTTCCTGGAGCAGTTACAAAGGAGCCATGATCTTTCTAGGGGCTTGAGAAATTCTCACTTTCACAGGCAAAACTTCATCAGGGGGAGATACGTTTCTGGTTTTCATAGTAACACATTCTAGCACTTCTACTGATAGGAAATGGTTTTCCAGGTTGGAGGAAATATTCAGCCTTCATCATTGCCCCACATAAATATGGTTTTAATATTATGCTGTGTCACATTTTGTATTTAAGAAGTCCCTTTTTTCTTTTCTCTTCTAGAAGAGGAGTTAAATCATCAAACACAGTCAAAAGGCGAGATCTATTCATCTCACCTAAAGTGGCCAAGGACTCCTGACACAATTTCTCCCCACTCCCAACATCCAGAATAGTATTCTGTAACTGGTCAAAAGCTATATCCAACAGCTGGATACCCTAGGGAGGCCTGGAGGAACACTCAGAACTCGACTGGGAGCAAGGGCGCTCAGAGAAGACTCATACCTCAGTATATGGGATTACCTAAAATGAATGAAATCTGTGGTATGGAAAATGGTTCCAAAATTCCAAATAATTTGTCAAAAGCCACACTGTAAATTCTGTTTTTTAAAGAAGAAGCTGGCGTAGAATTTGTTATCCACTCACCCACAAATAGAGAGCAAACAAACTTCTATAGAATCCCGCTGAGCTTTGGTAAGTGAACAGCCCTTAGAAAGTCTATACACAGTATGAAGCAATGAGTCAATGAGAGAAGCATGGTGCTCTGTGCCAGCAAAGAGAGGAGCACATCTCGTTAGCAACGGCAAGACGGCCGTGCAAAGGTACCGATTGAGGGCCAAGGCCATGTCTGTAGCACTCAAAGCCGCCTGAAAAAGAATCAGAGTAGAAGGCCATTTGTGTTTGGCAGTAGATAACTTTCAAAGGGATCAACATGGGAACATATAATTTCACTATCTAGAAGATGATAGTGCTATGAGACATGTAAATGTATTCTTCAGTTATATCTTTAAATGTGGGGTTCCTATGATTTTTACCACTAAAAACAATCAACTATCAATTGTTCATAAACAGATAAAAATGAATGAAATGACACCTATCTCCTCAAAAAGCTTAATAGGTTCAGATTCTATCATTAAATATCAATGGTAGGATCAATGTAAGAAGACGATAATATCACAGATGTGAGTATTTTCCTTTGCTAGGCAAAGAGAGGAGCTTATTCTCACAGTAGATCTCATAAGCAAAAACTCTTTCTGAATTCTCTTTATGATTCATATTTATTCTTCTCATGTCTATCAGCACCAATAATCAAAGGATAACTGTATTACTGTGTTATCATCCATACTATTCAGGTCCAGAATTTCATCTGAATATGCAAAACAAAGAAAAAAAGAAGTTTTCATTTCAGTTTTGTGATTCTGTTCTCGTATATTTCATGAAGGGGCTACTGTCAGCTCAAGTCCTGATGTACTTTGAAATCAAAAAAGCACACTGAACTGATAAAATTAATGAGTACTTGAAAGTAGGTATTAAATGGGTATAGTAGTATAACTACTATAACAACATTTAGAACTTCAGCTTATTCCACAGTGTTTCAAAGAGAAGAACATTTAAGCTGATAATGGCAGATTCTCCGTGTGGGTCACCCAATATACAGAACAGATTTCAATCCATTTGTACCTTAACAAACGAAGACACCAAGATGATCATGACTCAACAATATCCATTAAATCATCGTAATTCTTTAATTGCTTTTATTGAGAAGCATAAGTGTTTAGGCCAATTTGGAGGTTGACACCGAACAGAGGTTAACAGGAGTCACTGTGACCTCCCAAATTAGAGTTATGTGAACCTCTTATTGAATCCCACAGCACCTTATCAGAATTCTTATCATATTCTTTTTGGTCAGTGGGAAGTTTCCTGAGGTTGTCAGTTTATTCAGTGAATTCCTTGAGAACATAGCCTAGTTTTATTTTCTGTTTACCCATGGCTTACCTGAAAATATAATAGGTACTCAATAAATATTCATTGTCAATAAATTAATCAATGGATATATATATATATAAGAATATCATAAGGCACAGAATGAAGAGTCAAGAGAGGAGGAAGTCCATTGTTCCAATCTCACCGTATCTAAAGAAGCAGCCGCCCGGAGATCTGGCAGAAAGCCAACCTCAAGAAGATGGAGGAGGAAGTCTTGAACCTCAATTCCATAGACCCTGTCAAGGAATAAAACCATGGCTGCCTTGTGATCTGGGCAAAACCCCGCAGACATGTCAGGTTCCACCACATTCCCATCTAAAAGAGAGAAGTGAATTTTGGTGTCAATGGCTGTGCCATATATGGGTAGATTACAAATGGCTGCTTTCTAGACTTCTTACATTTTAAATAAACTTTTCAATGAAATGGTTTTCTGTTCTTCGACTACCCTCAAGCTATTATGGGAGTTTGCTGAGGAAATAAGGCAGTGCAATTTAAAGCCAAGGTCATTTAAGTGTTATATAGGCATCCACTTGTTAACTGCACACGGGATACAAGACGTGGCATTGTTAGATACTTAGGAGAAACAAACAGGCATCCAAAATCTACTTTCTAAAACTCCAAGTGAAATTCATGAAAAGTTAAAATGTAAAGTGGGCATTTTCACTCTTTTCTAAGCGAGCCTGTTTTAAACATGAATAAAGCTCATCTACCCTTATGTGATAATCTCGGTATATTTATCTTTTTATGCCTTAGAACAATAACAAAATGATGAAATAACACTATAAAACCAGTATGGTTTTCATATGAAATATGTTTCATTAATCATAATAGCATTTAACACGCATTTAAGGGTCATATTGTTTTCTCTATCAATACTCTAAGCTTTATGCCTATACAGATTAGTGAATTCTTTACAGTAACTCCATAAGTTCCCTAACTGGGGACTACTGATAAGAGAAATCATGGGATTATGTGCCAATTTCAAATACTGAAGAATTGATTTACTTCCTGTTTGACCATATAATTATGCCAATCTGGTGCTGATCCCACACCACGATTCTACAAATAATATCACAGAACTTTTCATATGGATACAACATCAAAGAAACAAGAACTCAGAGAAAGATGACACACGACCCACAATCATCCTGAATAAACTGAAAGAATAAAATGACAACTTTTCTGTTTTCACTTATAGTCAATGAACAAATTTTATAAGTGAATTATGAAAATAAACAAATAATGTTCTAAAGGAAGCTAGATGAAAGGATAATGCCTGGTAGTATTATAACGACACCTAATATAACTAATACATTCCTTTCCTTACATGTAAGAAGAATAGTTCTGATGTGTTATGCTGTTGTCAGGCACTGCACTAGGAACGTTCCTGACATGATCTTACACAATTCCCACCACCCATCTGTGAGGCTGCTATTATGACTCATTCAACGGATCACAAAAACTAGCCTTTAGAGAAGTTAAGTAACTAGTCCAAGGTCATACACCTAGTAATGGACAGAGTTATATTTAAACCAACTAAAACTGGATTTAAAATCCAGCCAAAGCTGACTTAACCTTAGTGTTAAATCAGTATGCTATGATTTTCAATTAAAAATCTATATAAAATTCAATTTCAGTTCTCCTAAATATCACATTAAAAAGGAATTTAAATGTACAGTATTCTATGATCTTAAAGTGTAGCTGTGCCTAGGGAAAAGGGGAGTAACCCACTGATCCTGCTCTATATGTTTTGCTTTTTAAACTCTTATCCAAGCAGACATTTGTTTTAATGAATGCCACAAATGCATCTGGCTCAAGACTCACGGATTGGCTCAAGCTGCTGTTTTATTTGCACCATCTCCTCAAACACACTGGAGACAATAAAGTAGCAGTTTCACCCTGCGGTGCCTGCTTTATACATCCATCCACAATTACCAGCAGTGCCTGCTGTATTCATCCACCTGCAATTACTGCCTCAGACAGGGCGGCCAAATCAGCCCGGGCCAAGAGCTGCAGGATTACATGCTTATTCCTCAAGTTTTCTGAACGCCTTCTTCTTTGATTATTATTCTCGGGCATACTCTAGCTTGGAAATAAATATGATAAAAATGTCTGAGGAAGACCTTAGCTAATCCTGAGAAGGGAAAATATCATTCTTTAGAGACAAATTTCACATACTAAATATAGAATGTATGATAACCATTATTACTGCTACTTAGTGATGCTTATAGACCAATTGAGTTGTCATTGAAAAGGAGAAAGAAATGTAGGTGTTTTAAGCTTTGCAGTGAATGCATAGCCACATAAAGTTAAATGCACAACTATGGTGACATAAAAACCGACAGGTTTCTGTCTACGTTCTCCACAAAAGGAAAGCAGCAAAAAAAAAAAAAAAGTTTGAGATGGAGTCTCGCTCTGCTGCCCAGGCTGGAGCACAGTGGCACGACCGGAGCTCACTGCAACCTCCATCTCCCAGGTTCAAGCGATTCTCCTGCCTCAGCCTCCTGAGTAGCTGGGACTACAGGTGTGCACCACCACACCTGTCTAAAAAAAGAAGAGATTTAACAAATACCAATGGATTGTGTTAAAAGTTAACTTTCATTGTGACTGCGATACAAAATTCACAAACACACACACACAAACCACTGTGACTCCCGATGGAGACAATATACTGCAAATATGTGAAGAAAAATAACATATTAGAGCACAACTAACTAGTAAAGGAAAGAAAGCAACGTGAAAACTCTTGAAGGCTGCTAAAGGCAGATGACTGGAGGAAATGAGGAGGTACCTGGAAACTTTTGGGCCCATTCTGAAAAGGACACCTGGGCTCTCTTACAATCTATGTTCTTGGTTCTTTGTTATTACTCATATTACTACAAAATTTAATGCTTCCCTATTTCCTAATCTGTATGTCACTGGTACTATTATTATCTTTGTCCTGATAGTGTCTATTTTGTGGTTCAAAATATAGAATAAGGAAAATATATTTTCCTTAAGCAAATGAACATGAGTTAGAAGAGAGGTACAGAGACAGCAGATGAAGATGAGCTACAGATGCACAAGGAAAAGAAACTGGCTCAAGTAGGGAAGTCAAAGGTGGGGAAAATTTTTAATTTCTAGCTTTGCCGAAAGCTATAATGAGCGTTCGATTATTATGGTAGTTTTGTCACCTTGTAGATTTGGGTTTAAGGTTAGCATACACAAGACTTTACTTTCTCATAATCATGCCTGGCAAACAGGATGAGCTACCTTCAGATATATGGTGACCCCTTTCATTCTAGACTTGAGCTACTATAGCCTGCCTTCTCTGGGGGCATAATTAATGAAAGAAAATGATTATATATAGCATGCACTTCCTACCTGATTATGTTTTTTGTTTGTTTGTTTGAGACAGAGTTTCGCTCTATAGCCCAGGCTGGAATGAAGTGGTGCAATCTCAGCTCACTGCAACCTCCCCAACATCCCGGGTTCAAGCGATTCTCCTGCCTCAGCCTCCTGAGTAGCTGGGATTACAGGCACCCACCACCATGCCTGGCTAACTTTTGTATTTTTAGTAGAGACAGGGTTTTGCCATGTTGTCCAGGCTGGTCTCGAACTCCTGACTTCAAGTGATCCACCTACCTTGGCCTCCCAAAGTGCTAGGATTACACGCTTGAGCCACCACGCCCGGCCCCTAATTATGTTTTGTTCTACAATTAGAAGTCTTTCATGTTAAGTGATTTATGTATAAATATCCAATAAAGTATTGAAAACTGAAAAAAAAAACCTTCCATTTGAGAAAGTGAAAACAAAGTATATTTGGGATTTAACATTTTAGTTGTCTTCAATAATTTCTTTAATCTTAAAAAAACTTTTATCCTTACTCATGAAAAGAACACTTCTTTTTGGCCAGAAGCGGTGGCTCACGCCTGTAAACCCAGCACTTTGGGAGGCCAAGGTGGGTGGATTGCGAGGTCAGGAGATTGAGACCATCCTAGCTAACATGGTGAAATCCAGTCTCTACTAAAAACACAAAAGATTAGCCCAGCATGGTGGTGGGCACCTCTAGTCCCCGCCACTTGGGATGCTGAGACAGGAGAATCGCTTGAACCTGGAAGGCGGAGATTGCAGTGAGCGGAGATCGCGCCACTGCACTCCAGCCTGGGCGACAGAGTGAGACTCTGTCTAAAAAATACAAAACAAAAACAAAAACAAACAAACAAACAAAACACTCTTTTTAACAGAGGGGATTTTAAAATCTCTAAGTCAAAAGCTATCATCATTGCTTTTAATAGAAAAGCATTACAAGAAAGTGACAATGAAAACTATGAAAACGCATGAACTAAGGAACTGAGGTCAAGAAAGAAGAACATGCGACCAATGATAGCATGCATGACATGAGACAGTGGAGGGTGGTGGTGCATATTTCCGCTTTTCTGGAAGCTGTCTGAAATGTCATATAAAAGAGAATTAAAATCTCAAAGCAAACACAGCTTTAAAAATAATGGAGAAAAGGCCGGGTGTGGTGGCTCCCGCCTGTAATCTCAGCACTTTGGGAGGCCGAGGTGGGCGGATCACGAGGTCAGGAGATCGAGACCATCTTGGCTAACACGGTGAAACCCCATCTCTACTAAAAATACAAAAAATTAGCCAGGCTTGGTGGCAGGCGCCTGTAGTCCCAGCTACTGAAGAGGCTGAGGCAGAAGAATTGCTTGAACCCAGGAGGCGGAGCTTGCAGTGAGTCGATATCGCACCACTGCACTCCAGCCTGGGCTACAGAGCGAGACTCCATCTCAGGAAAAAAAAAAAAAAGGAAAAAAATTATAAAATACATACTTTATAGCTTTTTTTAAAAAAGAAATTTAAGTAGTATAGACATAATTTAGGAAGCGGAGAGGTTGGGATGTTGAGTACGGAAAACATTTAGAACATGATGTCATCCAACATCCTACTGAATTAGGACATACTGAAGTTGGCCTTACCTTTGGCTATTGTTGGCATCTGAAAAGCGATGCTGATAACGCCCACCAAATCTCCCAAGGGAATTAGGGATCTCAAAATAGACCTAATTCTGATGGCTTCTCCCTTACCAGCATGAATCAACTATACAGGAAGAAAAACAAAAAAGAAAACATTAGAACAACTTTGTGATATCAATGTTACAGTTCTGTCTAGGAAATCTGAAGTATGGAAATCCAAGTCCAAAATAATTTTCTGATCAGTATACGTATAAAGTTATGCCTCTCTCAGACATAGTCTCTGGCTTACCTGTGGATATTTACTTGCTCACACAGTTTTCACTGACTTCAGCATACACCAAATTATTTATACTATGGTCTAGGCCAGTTGGTTCACCCATTAGAACAACAGTTTTTATCCTTTTGGGGACTGTTAAGATATATTGAGAATCTGACGTGTTTATGAAAGTTCACTTTCCAAAATTACATGTAAATACGTATCAATAACACGAGCAATAATACCAAAACAAAATTATCATTAGACTCTGAGCATATACTAATATTTATGATCGAATTAGCTTCTTTCTTGCTTTGTGCTAAGAAATGAATTGCATATCCATCGGTCTTCGACCCTGATTTCTCCCAAGGCTAGATTTATAATGTGGAGGAAATGATGAACATAAATCCTAACAGTTCTTTTAGACTGACATGAAGTACCCAGGATGACTGTGGATGACGCTCGGCTTGCAGAGCTGGGATGGGCATCTGTTTATCTCATTACAGGGTGTGAAACGCAAGCACAATTTCTGGCACATAGGAGGCCTCAAATAATAGTTGTGAAGATGCATAAATTTCAGAAATGTCAAGGTTGGTCCCTTATTACTTCACTTACTTTTTCCCCCATTAATAGAATAGAATGAAAACTTCTATTTATTAGTATACTTTCTCTTTGTTTCGCTGATGTGTTTTTCTGAGATGGGAAAAAGAACAAATATTGTGAGCAAGTTTTTGTTGTTGTTGTTGTTGTTGTCAGTAATCACCTCCAGCATAGAAATTTTTAATAGTCTCTGTTTCCATTTACTAAGATGAAAAAATCTTACTAGCGGCAAAGTTTAAATTTTTCTAAAAATCAGACTCCATTTTCTAACGTTCTAACATTCCTCTATCCTGTGATTCCTCTCTGTTCACAAGAAAAGAGTACATCACGGAAGTTTTAACCTCTGGGTATGAAAAACCTAAATCACACAAAAAAACCCAACCAAAACCAAAAGAAAGATAGATAATAAGGGTAGAGAGAAAGGCGCTTTGTAAGAAAGCCCTGGCTTCTTGCTCATCCCACTTTAGAAATATCCTTACAGTTCTTAACTACCCCAGCACCAATCAATGTGTTTCAAACTCTCACACTCTGCGTTTATTATTTCCCATTAGAAGATCTGGAAATGAATGTTTTGGGCCCTGGGCCAGGAATTTTTTTTTTTTTTTTATGACTCTAGTAGAATAATATAGAATCAACTACAATAAAATAAAGAACAAAATATCAGAATGTATTACAGAGTAAAAGTATTATTCCATGAAACTTTAATTTCATTTGGGTCAAAAAGTTTCAGAAAACACTAATCTAGGCTGGGTACATTGGCTCACACCTGTAAGCCCAGCACTTTGGGAGGCCGAGGCGGTTGGATCACTTGAGGTTAGGAGTTCTAGGCCAGCCTGGCCAAGATGGTAAAACCCCATCTCTACTAAAAATACAAAAATTAGTTGGGTATGGTGGCGGGTGCCTGTAGTCCCAGATACTCAGGAGGCTGAGGCAGGAAAACCACTTGAACTGAGACCATGCCACTGCACTCCAGCCTGGGAGACAGAGCAAGACCTTGTCTCAATATGGAAAAAAAAAAAAAAAAAAAGGAAAGCAAGAAAGCAAGAAAGAAAGAGAGAAAGAAAGAAAACACTAATTTATATGGTCTAAATAGCTCTTAATATCCACCTCCTACACTTTCCCCCTCACTTTCCCCTAAAACAATGGCAAACACATAGAGCTAAATACACAAAAGAAAATTACTTTTGGTAGGAGCAGTTGCTTTCTGCATGCACTATAACAGAAGAGGAAATTGTATAGAGAAAATATGTTCTTTTCTTTTTAAAATGTGGGAGGCTGTATGAGTTTCAGAGATATATGAGTAACTTAAGTACTCTATTAATGGCTTGCACTGAAATCCCATTACTAATTTTTACAACCAACAAGACATTTCCAACTAAACAAACACTTGTTCAGCAATTAGACTGCAGCTATTATTTTTAATGGAGCATGAAGATTATTGGTTTTGGATGCTATTATGCTCTTTGCCAGCTATAGATGTCTTAATATAGAGAAATCAGGATTGCTGCTCCTGAACCCCCAGGAACTCACATGCATCTCAGGCGCACAGCGTCCCAAGAGGTCAATCAAAGCTGCATAGAAGGTCATGATCGCGTTCCCCATGTGGATAGTGTCATCTTCCTCCTCCTCTGTATCACTTCCATGAATGTTTCAAAAGAAAGAGAAAGCAAATGGGATAACTGACATTTCATGTTTATTACATATCTCTCCGAGGAAAGGGACTACTAGGTAACACATTATTCTTCTGATACATTTCATATATGGTATAAATGTAGAGCTTGACGTTTTTAAGGGAGAATAACAACTGGTTAAAGATCAAGCTTGAGATTCTAACACCAAGAACACATCTGTGGAAATTTTAGTATTAAGATTCCTTTGAAGGGAAAAGGAGGAATTGCTCATTTGATAGGTTCTTTTCCTTTCTGGTGGTAGTGTATTAACAAAGAAAATAACTGATAGAAGGATGTGTGAGCTTAGGCTATTTCTATAAATGGCACACATGTAGAGAAAGGGTGACAAAGATGTCATATAAGGTCACTTGTAAGGCATCCAGTACAGTGCTTTGCCCAGAGTACTTTATAAATGTTATTGCACTTGCTCAACTACCTCTGTACCAGCTACTCAACCTCCCGCAACCCCAGCCAAAGAATCCAACATATCTCCCTCCCCATCTCTGTAGGGAAAATATAATTACATGTTCTCTTGCTGATGAGAGCCAAATCTGGATGGCCCTGGAGGCTCACATCCTTCCTCCTTGGTAACTCAGCAGACAGCTGTCCCCACTGAATACAGCAGTCTGCAGAGTGACAGTGAGGCCTCAAATGACAGCCTCATTCCTGGGCATGCAAGGCTGTCCATGAGGCCCTCAGGTGTACCCTTGCTAGTGTGGTCCTGGGCCAGAGGTGTCAGGATACATTTTCTGCTATCGAGAGAACCTAAGAGCTCCCTGGTTCCTTCACGGCCAACTGATAAGCATGTAGCATGGTGTGTGTGTGTGTGTGGTGGGGAGTGCTCATTCTTGCTCTAGGAGTGCTCCCAGTCTGCAAATCTGGCTATGGTGAACATGGAACATCGATGCCCAGTTTATATGTAAAAGACAAAGGGTTTGCAGGATTGCGTTCACTCTATCGCTTCGTTGTTTAGAAATATGCCTCAATATTGGCCTCCCCATCGGGGAATCGAACCCCGGTATCCTGCATGACAGGTGGGGATACTCGATACGCCTCAATAAAGCCCTATGTTATATCTTTACCAGAGCGACTAGCAGTGTGGATGCATGACCCCCGCTGGAGGACATTCACCTACACAAATAAGCATCACACCTGGATTTACTTATGTTGATTACTGAAATCTAGTATCAACAATGTATAGCTACAGATAAATGTAAGAGAGTGACTGCTTCCCGTATCTGTCTCCTATACCTCAACTAAGCATTACACTCCTCAGAATGACACCTTTTCTCGATTTTACCACCATATCAGTTTAGTCAAGTCCCCCTTTTATTTGCAAAAGGTCTCTTTCTAATCATAAAATCTCTTTCTAACTACTTTCCCACTAAACTCTAGTCCAACCCCAAAGGTTCACCTCGTATCATTTAGAACAACCCACCTTGCCCTAGCTCCCCTGGGAAAATTCATAAGATGCATCTCCTACAACCTAGATTTCCCTCAGCTAAATCTACACCATCTTCTTCAGCTCTCTTTGTTCATTTGACCTATTCCGGCACCAAATTCCATCCATTCTTCCAAATTTAAGACATTACGTTTTCAAAGGGAGAAATCTTCAGCACCAGAAGTTATGCTACAATTCATAGGATGCAGAATATATTTTGTAAAATTTCACATCAAGTAGTATGGATCACTCGTGAGGGTGTGTTTATTAGACCTACAGTGTTTTACTGGATCCGCTATTTGGTGAGGGACCATCTCGAGAAGGATCCTCGGCGATTTTGATGGCTTCTTCCATTGCTGCAAGAAGCCCATTCCCACCTTCTCCTCTCAAAGCAGGACCAAAACACTCAGGCCTCCGAATAAGCAATCTCACCACGACATTTGCATTCTCCTCCACACTCTCCCCTAAAGTAGAATGGGGAAGATAAGTAAACAAATATGATCATATGAAAGTTCTGAACAAAAAAATGTTATACTAATCATTTCCCATGCATAAGAATAACTAAAATCCAACAATATACTGATAAAGCCAAAATGTAACCCAAATTACTAGCTTTGGGTATACAAGACACAGTAAATTTCTTTTCTTGCATTACAAATTTTCAGAGTAAAACCTTATGGAGGCATAAACTATTGATTCTCACTACCTTGTTATTATTATAGAATGACATCACAATCCAAACTATTATTGGAATTCAAAATAAAAAATTTATGAGAACTTATGTGCTTAAAATTTTAACTTAAATAAGGAAAGAAGTATATAAACAAATATTGTATTATAAGCGGTTACTGTGAAAAAACCCTATCGATTATAAAATATGTGATTTCTTTACTAATACTTCATGAAAGCGTTGAGATGAATCCTTATCATATATACATGTCTCTATGCAGTTTTAATAATAACCCAAAAGACCTCAAGAAAACGAGTCCTACCATTACAGAAGACAGCAAATCTGAGAAAGTCAAGATATCTCTCTCCTTCAACTGGATTCCACCCAATGTCTGGATAACCCTTAGACACCAGCAACTGGCAACTCTGCAGTCCACAACCAGCCAAGTAACGAACTACCTGCAAACAACATGATTAATGAAGAGTTATCCCTTGGAGGAAAAGTCATTAGATGCTTCCATTGGATGCAATAAATGACATCCTCAAAGGATGCTTTTAAATACATGCATTTTTGCAAGTTCTTTTTGCTCTCATGATAATCCACTTGAACTCCCTTTAGTAAAACCTCAGACTTCAGAAATATTTAAATATCGTCATAAAGTGGCGTCATAATAAACATATTTATGATCCTACCATAAGCTTTGGTTTTTTTAAGCTTTCTCTAAGCAGACGTTCATTTTAATGAATGCCACAAATGCATCTGCCCGGGGCTCATGACTCACGGATTGGCTCCAGTTGCTGCTTTATTTGCACCATTTCCTTAAACACATTGGAGACAATAACGCAGCAGCCTCACCCCACGGTGCCTGCTGTTTTCATCCGCCCACAATTACCCACAGTGCCTGCTGTATACATCCACCCGCAATTACTGTCTCAGGGCAACCAAGTCTGTCTGGGTGGGGTAAGAGCTGCAGGATTATGTGTAAAACTATGAAAGAAAAATACTTCTGAATTTTATAGCATTTACTTTGAGACCCTTACCTATCAAAGTCATAAATTGCAAACATGTCTAATGACCTCTCGTGCAATGTAAAAACTGAATCCACCCACAATATTAAAAGATCTATCTGAGATGCAAAGGTATTTTAAAGAGATAAATTGTTTCCAAAATATATATAAATTTAATGGGGAAGCAGGTGTGAGAAAATACATAAAGACAGCAAAACCTAAGATTACAGTCAAATATCCTTGGTTCAAATCAGATGCGCAGCATTTACCAAACACCTCCTTTTGAGCAAGGTACTTTTACTTTTTTAGCCGAGGTTTCAGTGTCCAGGAAATTTTTGATAAGACAACACTTTTCAGTATTGATGCAATGAGCACATAAAATATTTTTGCCTGGCCTTTCCTCTTAAAATATTTTTGTTTTATATGAATGTTGGTCCTCTACAATATTTCATAAGAAATTCAATTTTAAAATAAATCCCTAGAGAAGTCATTATCAATGGAAGTAAGACTGTTAGAGGAGCAACTTATCAAGCAAATTGAGTTATATCCAGCTCATGTTAAATCAGTTTCAAAAACAAATAGGTAGTATAGCTAAAAATGTTTTATATCAACTATAGCGAAGCAAGAGAACCAATGTACAATAAAATCATCTATTTGAAGTATAAATTCAATGAGCTTTGAAAGATGTTGTCATCTGTGAAAACACACCATAATCAAGATGCAGAACATTGCCGTCACTCCTCAGAGCTCCCTGGGCCCTTTGCAGTCCCTTTCTCCCCACACACCTAGTCCCAGACAATCTGCTTTCTCTCATTACAATTTATCTTGCATTTTCCAGAACACGTGTACACGTAACAATGCAGCATGTATCTTTCTGTGCCTGGCTTCTTTCACTCAGCATATGATTTTGGGATTCATTCACATTGTAGCACATGCCAGTTCTTCATTCTTTTTTATTGTGGGATGACATTTCACCATATATGGGATGACATTTCACCATATATGGGTTTATCAACTAATACATTGATGATTGGTATTCAAGTTGTTTGCAGTTTTTGGCTATGATGAATAAAACTGTTATAAACATTCACGCCCAAGTCTTTGTGTGAACATACATTTTCCTTTCTACTGGGTAAATTCTTAGCAGTGGAAAGCCTAGGCATATAGTTTATGGTAGGTTTCTGTTTAATTTGTTAAGGAACTGCCAAACTGCTTTCCACACTGGCTGTACCATTACTCATCATGACAGAAGTAGAAGAGAGTTCTAGCTGCTCCTTGTCCTTCTCAGCATTTGGTATTATCAACCTCATTAGCATTAGCCATTTTAATGAGTATGTAGATTAAAAGATTTTAAGTACGATATGGGGGAAACATGTCCTGAGGTGTCTCAGAGACTTCATGATCCTGGACCAGTATGTCAGGAGGATTTGGGGAAGAGTTTCACTCTTTCATGTCTTCAACAGCCATGCACTAAGTGTCTACCCAGTGCTGACGCTGTTCTCCAAAGTGGGGACAAAGCAGTTAACAGCAGAGGAAAAACCACTCTCACCTCCCTGGCTTGACATTAGAGTAGGGGATGAATTTTTAAAAATGCATAACTACATAGAATTTGATTAAGTATATTAATAATTTAAAAAATAAGTATATAAATATAAACAAAAGTATACATTTGTATATAAATATAAATAAAACAAAAGTATACATTTGTGTATATAATATACAACTATTTACATCTCCAATGGTTGAAAACAAAGCAGTAAAGGAAACAGGAAGAGTTTAAGGAAGTGGAGAAAAGGTTTCAATTTTACATAGCATGGATATGGAAGAGCTGATAAAGAGGTGGTTGACTTTAGAGCATTGACTGAAAGAATGCCTACAAAGAGCTGTGATGGTATCTTGGGTAAGGATGCTGCAGATGGTTGGACTAGCAGGTGGCAAAGACCCTGAGGCTGAGCACAGCTGGCATGTTCCAGCTACAGCAAGGGGACAAGTGTGCCTGAAGCAAAGAAGAGAGAGTGCAGGAGAGCTGTAGGAGATGAAATCAGGCTGGTATGTAGGATCAGATGATGTAGGAGCTATTGCATCATCTTTGGTTTTTACTGGAGTGAGATAGAAAGCCTTTGGGGAGTACTGGATGGAGGATTGGCATGATCTTTTTAAGAGGGTCACTTTGGCTGATAAGGAAAGAACAGATTCCAGGGGAGCAAGGAAAAAAAATCAGGTGACTACTTGGAATGCTATTGCAACTACAATACAGGGAAAGTTTCTCTAAATGCCGGTATACACACATGTGGCTTAATATCCTTAGAGTGCATGGCTTTACTATATTGCTGATGCTTTGTGCTGGAATAAAGTATATGTGATATAAAATGTACATATGAGATGTCAAAATAACCTTTTTAAAACTGAAGTGTATAATTAAGTCAAAAATGGAAGCAGATATCATGAAAAGACAACAACACGTAAGAATACAGATACAGAACGTTGCTTCTTGTTCCACAGAAAAATGTTTGTGATCAGAGAAAACTCATTTTTTCAAATGTATTGTTCTTCATAACTTCTAACTACAATATAATGTATAGTAGAATTATATACAATGGAATATATAACATTATATAGTGTGCAATGTAAATTATAATATACTTTAATTCTAATATCACTAGAACATATTGTGTTGGTGCAAAATTAATTGTGATTTTGGCCATACTGTCACACTGCAAAACCACAATGGCTTCTGCACCAACCTTAGTTATATTTAAAATATTGAGAAAGAACTATGAAAAAGCATAACTCAGACAAACACACAGGGCAGGAACATTGCTGACCTTTTCTAGATCCGGCTCACGCAGAGCTAATGCTAGTTCATTATTATCCATCACCGAAGCTGCAGCCACATCCAGTGGTGTTGAACCTCTCATAGCTGGGGAGGCTGTTAATTCAAATGAAGATGAAATATAACCTGGATTGTACTGTATCTATAAACTCCATATAAAAATACCCTACCTCTTAAAATTTAATTTCTAAACACCATCCACAGTGTATTAATCTATAATGATTTAAAGTATTTTTAATTGACAAATAAAAATTGTATATATTGTGTACATGTTTTGAAATATATGTACACTTTATGGAATGACTCAGCTGAGCTAGTTAACATATGTATTACCTCACAT